CAGATCAAGTCTGGTTTGTTGTCCATCGACAAACCCTGGACGTCCAAGTCTCCCAAGCCCTCAGATAAATCATCTTCAGTGTGAGAGGGTACCGCCACTTTCCAAAATGTGGGGACATCTGCTATCCTTTGTAGACACTTGGGCAACCTGCATATCAAATGCTTGTGTGTTGTAGATGGTTTCCAGGAGCTACAAGCTAGAGTTTCACTCCCAAACTCCTCCCTGATTCATGGCTTCCAACCTGTCTTTGTCACTGCACAGATTAGCAGATCTCCATACAGCCCTGGCATGTCTCCTGAAGCAGGGAGTTATCACTGCAGCCCCTGTGGCTGAATGGCTCCAGTGATTTTACTTCAAGCTGCAAAGTCTGCAAACCAAAAGGGGACATCTGTTCCATATTGTCTACATGTAGGTCCAGTAATTTAGTATGGAATCCACCAGGTTTGTTATAGCCTCCCTTCATTAGGAAGACTTTCTGGCCTTCGTGGATATCAAGGATTTATACCTATATGTCCCTATCGTCACAGCATAATAGTAATTCCTTCACTTTGCAATGGGTCAGCTGCACTTTCACTTTGCGGTCCTAATATTCGGCTTGTCTTCTGCACCTTGGATATTAACCAAGGTGCTGGCCCCTGTGCTAACCTTGCTGCATTCGAAGGTCATCCTCATTGTGGTATATTTAGATTACCTCTTTCTGAGAGAGCAGTTGTCAAAGGTGCTGAAGGACAATATAGTCATGACTGTTCAAACCTTGCAGAGGTTTGGCTGGGCCCTGTACGTTCAGAAGTCAGCGCTGGAACCAATATATGGGTCTTATTCTAGACACAGCTCAAACCGGAGTTTTTCTCCTCAGGGAAAAAACTTTTTAAACTTGCCTCTCCCAGACTTGACTCTTCAGTCCAAGAGTCACCCAACTCTTTGCATCTACATGAAAGTCCTGAGATTGATGGTAACCTCCTTCAATGCAGTCCCATTTGCCCAGTTCCACTCTAGACCCCAACAAAACATGCTGTTGATGTGGGCACGTCAGTCCAGTCCTTGAACAGACTGATTCATCTGGCACCAAGTTTGTCCCTGGCCTGTTGGCTCCGTAATTCTGCTGAAGGATGTCATGACAGATGCTAGCCTGTTGGCTGGGGAAGGAGTCCTAGATACCTTGTGGGTGCAGGGGACTTGCACATTGGAGGAATCTTGTCTCCGGATCTACATTCTGGAACTTTGGGTGATTTGGATGCCCCTGCAGTACTGGACAATACAATAGCTGTGGAGTACATCGACCATCAGGGAAGAACCAGACGTTTTGTCGTGGAAAGAGAAGTAGAAAGGATCCCGTCCTGGGCAGAACTTGTACTAGAATCGGTATCGGGACCGATAAAGGGCATTTTCACAAGTACTTGTACCTTCGAAAATGCCACGATACATAGCGCCGATACTTGTTTTTTTTTTTTTTGTAGCTTCATGCTGCCCAGAGGTACCACACATGTTGGGGTCCTCTGGGCAGTCTGCCGGCCAGCTAAATT